TTTCTTTTGATGCTCTGTGACTTGCTACAGTCTTCTTGTTTTTCCTCTTCTTATCACAGCTGTGTCAGTCAGTTATGCCAGCTGGGGTTGACAAAATCTCCACTTCCCAAAAATACGTTTTGGCAAGGCGACGCCTAGTGAAGCTAATAAACAACAGAGCCAAGCTGCTTTCTCTCTGTTCATGTATCCTTCTAAAATTTAAATGACCCTCAGGGTGATGCTCCAGAAAAGCGGAGTAATAGGAACAGTTTCCCTTACTGAGATTTCTGACCACTTTGAACAACTAGGACTTTCTGCAACATTGTAATGGTGGAGTTGGTACAGCCCAACTCTTCAGTTCAGTCTCCAGACCCACTAAACATTCACATATGTACACATGTGCGTGGTGGAAGAAATATTTTGAAAAATAGTTTTAAGGTGCTATCAGAGCAACTTGAGTTTCCAGTCTTATAGTCAACCTTTCATAAACCTAATCTCATAAACACCAGTAATTCTATGGAAATAACTAGTCACGCACAAAAGAATTGTCTGCAGCAGATCAGCATTTTCCTCTGAAACCAACTTGAGGAAAGACGCGCTCGTGCAGACTTACCTGTTGTGCCTTACGATGTTACTGCCATCCCCAGCTTGATAACCTCAGCTTTAATTCACTGTCTCTGCAACTGAACTGTCATTACAAGTCACAGGAGGGCTCGTCGCCTGCTCGGGTGCAGAGCGTTGGCTTGAAGCCTCCCCAGGGTGAGTAGCAGTCGGTGCCATAACCCGGCCAGCACCGCACTGAAGCAGGCGGGAAGAAGCCGCAGCAAGAGGGGCGAGAAGCTTCTGCTCCAGGAGGTGGCAGGTGGTTGGGCAAACATCTTCAGCTGCTTCAAAGTGTGTAAATGTGCTTATATAGTAAACGTACAATCTAAAGACAACAAAATTAGGCTCCTTCACTTAGATGCGTCTGCAGATATTATAGAAACGTGTCTCTTCATTCTCTGGCGTCATCTGGAACACTATCTACTGCACTGCACGCCCGCTGACTCCCAAGACCCACTACTGTCCTCCAGGATGTCATTTAAGAAAGGAAGGCTCCAAGGTAAAATTTCTCACACATCAAAGTGCTTTTGAATAACTTCTGATGGTTAACTTTTAAAACTGTTTACCTACTATTAATATTTTGCCGTTTATATTTAGTAAAAGAGATTTTTGTTGGATTTGGCATACCTTTGGATTTTCTGCTGGAGAACCAGCAATAAAAAAATTGTTAAGTCATAGACTTTTGGGGTTTGTCTATTACACATAATCTCCAAAGGAAAGTAAAATTTAACTATCTTTTTATTTCTGTTGTTCAAACCAAGTGAAGTTCAAATAATATAATCAGATCACTGATTCAAAACAATTTGTAGGAAAATATTTCAATAATCTAAGATGAAAATAAGAACTAAAATCAGTAGTGGCGGATTTAGAAGTATTCTTAGAACTGTAGGCACCACTGATTCACGAGAAGATTTTAAGTTTGTTGGATTTTGTTTTTAAAAAAAAAATAAAATTAGGAACGGAAGGAAGTCAGAAAGGGAGAATTGATCTGGGGACAACTTCTTGATTAAAATGCCATGTTGTATGATCAACATTGTTTATAGCTCTTACTTAATGTATTTTCTCTAAATCATTGAAGTAAAAAAATTAGTGTAATTCCTAATGCACAAGTTTACTGACCAATTTGGAACACTGCATTTTAAACTCATTTTATAACTTGATCTGGGTTAGGGTTATCAACAAACTAATTTTAATGTCTCATTTTCTATCACTAGATTCCTTTGGTTCAGAGCCGAACTTGGATTTCAGTAGTGGACTGAATCGTGTGAGCCAGCATGATATAGAACAGGTGAGATGTGACACTGTGCTGAAAAGTACAGATGCACTTGATTACCATACAGCCATTGAGAGCAGTCTGACTAGTTTTCCCACTTCTAAACAACCTGTGGTAACGCCAACAGGATATAACTTAATTTAGGTTTAATGAAATATTGCAAAATTTTTTTTGGAAAGTATTATGAAGCAGGTAGCAGTTGTGCTGCTGCACACGTATTTTCAAGTCAATATAAAAAGCTAAATGAGCTAGACTTACAAAAAAAAATGCAATAATTCTTCTTCTCTTGTACATCAGTCAAAAGGTATGTATTTTTTAATAATAGCTTTCTGAAAACATCAGTTGCCCTTGAAAGACTCTCAATATGAGGGCAGGATTCCCAATTTTCTGTGATCCTATAGCTGTTTACTACAGGTCAGCTGCAGTTAAGCTGTAGAAAAATGAGATCGAAAAGGATAACAGAAACTGAGGAGGCAATGAAATGTGAATGCTAGCAAAGTGATCTCTGCTTACACAGCAATTTAATAGTTTGTGTAAATCTGATGCAGTGGTGGCAGAAAAAAAAAATATTTTTTATTAATAAATCCTACTGACATTTCTACTGCTGCTTACGCAGGAAAGACCTGTGCTCAAAAACCTGTGCAGTTTCAAGTACCTTTGTAAAATCTAGAATTGTAAGAACAGTTGTATGTGTTTTTTGTGATGAGGCAGCTGTCTTTTATTTCATTTGTTCTAAAGTAAAATATACAGTAACATCTTGCTAAAATACTTAGAATGTAATTAATCTTTTCAGGGATTGCTTACATCTGTATTATTGAAAAAATGTTGTCTATGCACGTGGACTCCAAATCCTAAACAGTCCTTAAAGGACTAGGTAAATTTTAGTTGAAATGAGTGTTTGTATTAACTGAAGAAGCTGAATTAGATAAAACTGTTTTATTCCCCAAACAGGAATTGAATTTCTAGAATCTGGAGAGGTTGTAAGGTGGTAATATCTGGATAATCTGTAAATGCTCTGAGTCACCCCAAAACCTCCGTAGAAAGGCTGTCCATTGTATAATTCAGAGAGGAAAACAGCAGGGAAGAATGCAAGTAATACTTACTAGCAGAGTCAGAAAAAACATACTTTTGAAAGTGGTTTAGAGAACAAATCATAGTGAAAAGGTTGACAAGTAGCTGATGACAGATAAGCTAGCATTCCAGAAAGAGAAGGCTTTGTATTGATGACTGTAACAAATCTCTGTTTCTCAGCTTCAGATTGAAGCCACGAACAGCTTTGGTGAATCTCTGCAGAAGAAGCTTCTGGACATCGAAGGGTTATATTCTAAAGTCCGGTCACGATACACCTTTATTCAAGCTCTTGTTAGACGTATCCGTGGTCTCCTAAGGATATCAAGGACCTAAAAGACTCCAATATGTGTTGCTTTTCCCTTGAAGCAATGTACTAGGGCAGGCCTTCTGGATCATCAGATTTTATAGATCACACATTTTCTAAATAATGTCAAAAATATTTTGTTACTTGTTTTTCTTATCCCTATGGATCAGTTTTGTGTATACTTTTCCTACTGCTCCCAACTGGACAGGAAAAATAAAGGATTGTTTTTAACTGATTCATAATTCATGTAAAATTTCAAGCAAGAAAGAATTCTAACAGAGGACATAAAGGAAACAAAAGTTCTGCAACTGCGATGATACTACATTTATGGGTATTTTCAGAGAAAACCAAAACGTCTGTGTCCCTCTGTGCTGTTCTTGCTTCACACAGAGGTTTAATGAAAACACGGGGTTCAGGTTTCAGCACTTGCAGAGTGTGGTCACTCTGGGGATTCTCTGTGAAAGGTGATCGTTTTGCACTGCGAACTGCTTCTTTCAGCTCCCTTTTGTCCTGCCTTTTTTCAGCCGACAGAAGTACAAGCTGCCTCTCGTTGGACAAGTACAAGCGTCTTGTCTTATCTAGACTGGTAAGAAAAAAAAAAAAAAAATGGGAAAAGTCATGGAAGGTGACTGCACGAGGTTTGGTTCTTATGGCTTGGGGGAGTACAAGTTTTCTGTTCTGTTCTTGTTGGAACGAGAGTATAAAGACAGAATAAAATGCATGAGGAGGAAGCCAACATGCCTGAATGGTACATTGGTTCTGTAGAAGCAGATTGCTCTCACAAAAGGTATTCTCATCTCCTTGTCCCTTATGTTAAAAAAAAAAATGGTGAAATCACTGATTATTGACATGAGATCTGCTGAATTTCTCTCTTATTAAGAGTCTGACCTTAAAGCGCAATTTTCCGCGTTTGCCTTCTAACTTCTGTCCCTCGAGTTTTCGTATTTTTTACAATTTTGTACTTATCTGCACAAACTAGTTGCATGAATTACATCATCTTTTTTGCAGGGATGGCAATAGCCCTGCTATCCGATGATGTTTATTAGCAGTTCCATAGGAGCAGCCAGCTGTTAACAGTTTACAGAGTTGGACTCTTGATTTTCAACAGGGTTTCTCCACCATCTCAGTGAAAGCCAGGAAATAATGCACGGTTTGTCCTTAAATGCAAGAGGCCAACTTCGGAGTTCTGCTGGCACAGCGCACCTCACTACGTTTTAGAAAATACCACTGCGGTGACCAGCAGAGCCGCTGTGGGGAATCACAGGAGCGTTTCCCCCGCGACTCGCCGCAGCGCTGGCCGGGGTCCCGCGTGGGCGCAGGAACTGGAGCTCCCGCTCGGCCGCGGCGGCCAGCCTGGGCACGCGCGCCGTGGGAGCTCCGCGCCCCTCCACACAACACACGCGCGTGCACAAGCCCGCCGCACCCGCAGTAAATCCTGCTGGCAAGGGGCGGGGCTTCCTTGATTTATTTTTTAAATTTTCTTAAAGCGGGGAGGGAGGCGGAGCAGCCCCCTCAGTGCCGGCGGTCAGGAAGTCCCGCCCGCGGCCGGCGCACGCGCGGAGCCGAGCCCCGCCCCTCCCCTCCCCTCCGTGCCTCCGCCGCCGCAGATTCGTCACTTTTTTTTTTTGCGGCCCGTTTTTTTTTTTATTATTTTTAAAATATTTTCCCCTTTTCCCTGCCCTGGCCGGGTGTACCCGCACAGGGAGGGCAAAGGAAGCCCCTGCGCTCAGCCCTTCCTTTCCTCGCCGTCCCGGCTCCGTGTCGAAACGGCGAGGCAGCGGGGGAGGGAGGGCCTCGTTTACTCGCCGGGGCGTTCGACGTGGAGCCTGCGGGCGGCGGCGGCGGCGGCAGGGCCAGCGGGGCAGGGCCGGCGGGGCAGGGCGGGGGTGCCCGCGGCGCGGCGTAGCGGCTCGACATGGGTGAGGAGCGAGCGGCGGCGCGGGGGCCCGGTCACCGGGGCGGGGCGGGGCGGGGGGGAAGCGGCCGGGGCTGGCGCGAGCCCGGGGAGCGGCGCGAGGGGCCCCGTCCGCCCCCTCCCCCGCCGCGGCCTGTGGGGATGGGGGGGCGGGGGGGCCCCCTCAGCCCCGGCTCGCAGCGGGCCCCGTGGGCGGGCGGGGGCCCCGTGGGCGGGCGGGGATCGCTGAAGCGCTTCCAGGCAGCGTTATCACCTGGGCAATGGCGGCTCCCGTGAGCGGCGCTGGCGGAGTCTGCGTTTGGTGAAAGATCATCGTGCTTTTGTACTCACGAGACTTGCCTAAATTAAACTCTGTTGCTAAGAAGGGATGAATTATGACAAGAGGTTTTGGAGAATAGTAGGTAATGAAGAAGGAATAGCACGAGGCCCTGAATCTAGGGGTTAAATGATTGACATAAATCTGTCCTATTACAGATATTATTTGAGCAGTGTTTTAGTGTGGGAAAAGCATTTTAGAATATAAAAAGAGGGAATGAGCGGTGTCTGGCAGCAAGTAAAGTTACTGACTGAGAGGAGTGACCATCTCTTAGGCCTCCGTGGATCCCAGGGTAGCCTTCTACTTGAAAGGTTTCTATTGAAATACCTTTTGCAGCTCAGTTCTGTTAAGATTATTTGCCCGTCCCACAGTAAACAGTGCCTTGAGCAGCTCTGTGCAAACTGGCAACAGATGGTGCCTTGTGCCTTCTCTTTGTTCTCCAGGTCTGTAATGTGATGGGATGGGCTTAGAAGTACAGCAACCTGCTAGCAGTTGGAACGTCTTCTTATAAGCACACATCTCACTGCTCCCTCCTTTCCCTAGAAAGGCATCACAGATGCCTAAGGCGGCGAACACAGGCAATCATTTGTAGCAAAATCTCTTTCAATAAGGTTTTGGTTACAAATATTCTCTAATTTGTTTCTTCTCTGATATATTTATCAAATGTGATTCTAGCTTGTTTGGTGCTTTATTACCTTCTGCAGGATTTAGGTGGATTTACAAAATTATTATTTAGCATTAGATACATTTGTTATAAAAATCATTGGAAAAAATGTCATCGTTACTGGCTTAGAAGGTTAGTGTTCTTTATACACGTAAACATCCAGTAGGCACAAATCAGATACTAGTCTGGCCGCAAGTTCTCTTATATGCATTTAAAGAATAAAAGAGATGTTGGGACAAGCCAGTTTTTTGGGGAAAAAAAAAGGACGTTTAAAATCATTCTTATAATTCCCTGTAGCATTAACATACTTAATTTAGTGCAGCTTCATTGTCTGTAATGGACTGTGATTTAACAAATACCTCCTGATTTTTACTTCATTTTAAGAAAAAAGAAGTGGATGGCCCTGTGGGAGACCATGGACAGCAGAAGGAATTCTTTCAGGCTTCTGCATGTCCTTGTGTAGTCTCCTGCATTGAAAAGACAGTCCAATACAAACAAAAAAGAAGTTGGCTCGGGCTTTGGCACATGAGAGAAAAGGAAAAAAAATCCTACCTGCAGTGAGGAAGCTTGATGCTGCTGCAGTGTGATTTTGCTGGATTGAGCTACCATAAAATTGCAGCATAAAACCAGGAAAATATAATGTGGTTTAGCACTCAGGTATCTGGGCAACAACCTGAACCTTGTCTGTTTATTTTCACTGGAGAAAAGAAACTTGGTGTTGCTCAGTTAGAAATGAGGTCGATCTGTCTGCCTTTCCATGTACTCCACATTGCTGGCTGACATTGAAACATTTTTTTTTTGTTGTTGTTGTTCTTTTTTTTTGTAGGGGGCTTTTTTTCCACCATCTTTTCCAGTTTGTTTGGAACTCGAGAGATGAGGATTCTCATCCTGGGACTGGATGGAGCTGGAAAAACAACTATTCTCTATAGGTTACAAGTTGGAGAAGTTGTTACCACCATTCCGAGTGAGTGATAAGTCCCTTAGTGGAAATAGCTGATTTTCCTGTAGCTCTAACACCTAAGCTTTGTCAGCTGGACTCAGTACACGCTTCCTTCATAAACAAAAGGACCTTGTGTTGTGGGAGCCTTGCACTGTTGTATTTAAGAACTTTATTGCATAACAGTATTATAGTATGCGAAGAAGTACTACATAGAGGAGTATTTTATGCTGCCCTGCTGAATGCAAGAAGTGTTTGACCTTAAGATTGTTACCATGGTTTGTCAGGCTTTTCTTGGTAGGTAAATGTTCAGTAAATGGTAACTGCTGACTATATGAGTCTCGTGTTTCCAAATATAGCTATAATGTGGATTCTAGAGATCACTATTACTGTCCAAAAGAAGTTTTGCATAGGATGGTATCAGTCAATCATACCTATTTAATTTCTTTTTTTTTTTTTTTTTTGCCAAGGGTCTTCAGTTTGTTATGTAAACACTTCTGTTTAACACAGAGAAGAAGAAATCAGGTGGTTTAACGTCACATCATGTAGAAAGTGTAACAACTCAATGAGAGGTCTCGTGGAAGCAGTTGATGTTCAGTTAAGAAAACGTGACTGATTTCACCAGTCGCCTTAGTCAGCGTTCACGCAGCCGTAGCCACCTCTTCCAGACCCCCAGATGCGTGTGCTGAAGTGCTCTGGCTAGGGTCACTCTCTGTAACGTGTAGGACAAGGGACATCTGGTTTTGAGTGTCTGACCTGTCTCTCGCGTTCTTCCTGAATGGCCACAATAAACTGACTTTGGTCAGGTGGTTTTTACCTTTTAGAAGCCAGCAGTTTACCATGCCAGAGTCCTTTTGCCCTAGGGTTTTGCTGTTTTCAGTCTCCATAAATTTTAGGCTGTCTGCATCCCTTGTTCGCTTCCCTGTGTTGTGTTTCTCTGGGCTGGCAGGAAGAGGAATGGTCTGTGTGATGTGCTGTAACCTCACTGCCATATTCCAGATACCACAGTGGCAAGTCTTCTGTTACGAGAGTGCGGATCTGGTGTTGATGTGAAAACCACATCCCTTTGTGTTTTATTGATGTTGTTGTGTACTTGGTTATCAAAACAGGCCATTCCTTTAACCCTTGCTCTGTTTCTTTTGGTAATTTCAGGCACACTTCTGTTCAGCAACCTTAGCATATGTTACAAATCTCTACAATATGCTTACAGTGTGTTTTATGGTTCAAAGAAAAAAAATACTGCATTATTTTGAGCCATAAATGTGTTTGTTGGGGTAACTTCACAGAGGGCATGAACTTCATTATGTAGCTACCAAGAATTTTCAGGCCTGAAAAATTGTAAACTAGGTGCTTTAACATGCTTCAGAAAAATAAAGAAAAATCACTAACAGTGAAATTGTTTTAACTTTGTTTCAGCCATCGGCTTCAATGTTGAGACAGTGACATACAAGAATCTGAAATTTCAAGTTTGGGACTTGGGAGGACAGACGAGCATAAGGTACTAGGTCTTTTTAAAGCAAATGATATAATTAAATTTCTCTAAAAGCACTAAGTTCTTGTAATTCTTACAGCTGTCACTTCTTAAAATTGGTTAAGTTTTAAAAACAGCCCATTGTCAGGAGAGCACTTTCATCTGACAGAATTCAGTTAGTAAAACCTGTTTTGGACTACAGATTGGAAAGAAACAAGCGAATGTTTTCACTTGTATACAGTTTTGCTTTGAAACATGAGTTTACTTGTGAAGTAGGCAATTGTGTAGCATTCTGAGAAAGAGGGAAGTGGGTGATGTAAACCCCAAAAGATATGTAAATATCCTTAAGAATGCAAAGCCAGGAAGTTGAATTCGGGTACAGCCAATAATTTTTTGTAGCGAGCATTACAAGTTTTGTAATGAGTCATTATAGGCATAATTGTTGTGATCTCTTCAGTACCCTGCATGATCTTTTCATGATTCCTTTCTGAATGCTCGTTAGTAAGGTGCAGCATAGTTAGTTAATAAGTAAGGCGCAGCTTCATTCCCTTTTTAGTTTAAGATAATTCTGAAAAAGGCGGTGTGTTTTGATCCTCGTTAATTACTTGTCTATATGAATTGGTCATTTAAGATTTCTCTGTTTATCCTTCTTCAGTGACCATAATGATTATCCATGGCAGAAGCTTGTATATTTAAACTTTCTTTGCTTTCCTGTCCCTCAGTTATGGACCTCATGTCCTGCAGGCTGATTCCCAAATAAATCTGTCCCCAGCACTTCTGTCCTTTACCAGTTTTCAAGCTGCTTTTTTTTTGGTTTGTTTTAGGTTTTGCTTTTACTGTCTGTTCCTTTTTGTAACCTCTTAAGATACCTTCTGCTTGCTCCCTGGGGCCTTTCACCCCAGAGATAGTTCTTGCTTCTGCTGGGTAATCTGGTTTTCGTTACCTGGCTAAAAAGCACTGCTAAAAGTGCAAATTACATGACTGAAACTTCTCTTTCTTCTGCAGGCCGTATTGGCGGTGTTACTATTCAAATACAGATGCAGTCATTTATGTAGTGGACAGCTGTGATCGAGACAGAATTGGCACCTCAAAATCAGAGCTTGTTGCTATGTTGGAGGTAAGAAAACAAGGATGACAATCGTTATCAGTAGAACAGAAATTAAGAAATTATTTTTTTTTCCATGAACGTGACATTTGAATCAGTCAATCAACTGAAGCTCAATTTGTGAAACTTCAGCCCTCAGAATAGGCCCGTGCAACATTTCTGACTGAAAAGCACTAAATACGCTGCAGATATTTCACAGTTCCAGTCAGCATTGTCTGGGCAGTAAGTTAGTTACATATAGCCTTCTGGTCATGGAAATTTATCTGTCTGTAAGGACAGCTGCTCAGTACTTAAGTGGTGGCAAAATCCTGAAGCCCTGAAGGACTAACAGTAGCTAGTATCCTGTTATGTTTTGGAGCAGAAGAACAGGGTAATATGAGTAAGAAAGCAGAGGAGTTGAGCAAAACTGCATTTTTATTCCCCCCAAATTCCTGCAAGGTCTTGGATATGCCTTGTTAAATGCAACTACCAGCTTCTTTCATAATGCAATGGGCGTAACTGGCCCATGTTTTGAAATTGCTCCTATGTGGTATCATGCTGGAATTGAAAGTAAATACCATTCTTTCATGGAAGAATTTTCTAAAGATCAAAAATCAGCAAACTGAAAATCATTGAAAGCTGATGTTTTTCATTCTGTGGGTTTTCTCTGTTTAAATAAATTCAGTAAAGTCCCTGTATCACCTTGCATGATTATTTTTTTTTTTTTTTTTTTGTTAGGAAGAAGAGTTGAAGAAAGCCATTTTGGTGGTGTTTGCAAATAAGCAGGACATGGAACAGGCCATGACTCCCACAGAAATGGCGAACGCACTTGGCTTACCCGCTTTGAAGGACCGAAAATGGCAAATATTCAAAACCTCTGCAACTAAAGGCACCGGGCTTGATGAAGCAATGGAATGGTGAGTAACAGTCTGATTAGGCTAGCTTCATTGGAGAAAGAGCTTTTACAGCATTTCATTTTTTTGAAGACTGGATCTGTGTCAAGAGTCCACATTAGAAAAAAAAAAGAGTAGCTTTCTACTGAAAGTCTTTAAACATAATTGAAATTACTTTTCAGTAAACTGACTTAACCTTTTTCCTAGGTTGGTGGAGGCCTTGAAGAGCAGGCAGTGATACAAACCTGACCAGTGCAAAGAAGTTTAAGCTCTATCCACCATCCCTCTTTCTGCAGTCAAGTATTTTCAGGCCCCAAATACTTGTAAATAGAACAGATTTGAGTTTGACTCCTACACTGTGGATGCCTCTCTTGAATTGTAAAACTGAACCAAGTGAATGTCTGTGTACATTACGATGATTCCATTTCTGGGTTTCTGTTTAAAGGATGTACTTATGTTAATTTGTATGAAAGTCTTGCTGCCTGGGAAAGGCTTTTTTTTGTTCCCCCGCTTCAGTGGTTTTAAGTTTGGCTACTCTCTTCATGTACTTAAAACACTAATAAAATCTGGAACTGTCAGCTGTACTCAGAGGTGTGTTGCTTACAGAAACAAGTCCAACTGCTGCCAGCCAACAGCCACAGGCTGAACATGTTTTAAAGAGGTTTCCTTTAGCCAGTGTTGTTACCCTTCTAAACCCTTCAGCGTAGATACGCTGTTACACTGAAGTACAGGGAGAGAGAAGCAGCATACCTCTAGCTGCTGTCAACGTAGCAGTGGTTTTCTGAAAGGAAAATAAATGTCTCCAGTAGCCACGTACCACCCTGATGGGCCAGGGCTGTAATGTGAATTGAACTTCCACCTTCATGAGCTGTTAGTCCTACACTCTCCGCTTAGCCAGAAAGGACAGTTAAGTTGTTCAGTACAGCTGCAGAAAGACAAATCAAAGTTGGGAGGCAGATTGTGTTTTCTCTCCAGGAGCTTGGATGGTCACAGGCATGAATGCTGTCATTACATAACTCATTATTTTTAAAAGTAGTAAAATTTAATATAAAAGGTCATAGTGGTTGTCCATTCAACTGTACACGCTCTGGTAAATACACAGGTTTGGAAAAAAAATTGAAAAGCTTTTATTTAAGGTCCTAGATGAAAAAGAAGACATGAAAAAATACTAATAAATACATTTAAAATATGTAAATACTGTTTTTTTTAAACAGTAATTAGTTCTTCAGCTTGAAGTTACTTTTTATAAATTAATCCACCAAGAAGGAAAAGCCTTTTTATTCCACCATTGCTAAATCTTTCAGTGCATGACTTCGTGGCCTCTTGGCCTTGTAGGTAGGGCGCAGGGATTCTATTTTTCTCTTCCTGGTTTCGGCTTTATTCTTATGTCTCTTCAGCTTCCTCCTTGCAGCAATGTCAGGGTTTGCTACAGTCTGGTGAAAAACAATACATTTGTTTGTTTAGTTACAACTGACAACTGTCCCTGTAAATGTCAGCTACTGCCTAAGAGACCAGTGACTGGTTCTCTTAGGCTCCTCCTCAAAACCCCGAGCAGGGGGGCTGCTCTGTCCTGGGTGCCTGTGGCACCACTGCCAGCCAGAGCCTGCCCACCCTGCCCATCTTAAAGAGTTTCCTGTGAAGTTTCAGAAATGAAACTCCCAACTCAGGATGAAGCTCTTCCTCAAACTCACCTTCCTGGTCAGCGCTCAAGCCTTTTGAGAAACCCTGTTTTTCCCTGGAGAGAAATGAGACTCTTACCTGCAAAGCCCTCTGCTTTTTCCTTATTGCTCTTTTCTGATGAGCCTGTTTCTGCACAGAAGAGAAGGCAAGCGAAAAAGCCTCCAGTCCAACTAACTTCTTGAGCAGTTCTATGATTTCTTGGGAAAGGTTCTTCAGTGTTGGATCTAATAAAACAAACAAAATTGCTTAATCGTTTCGGCATATGGAATGAAAACCAAGAGCCCTGTAAGGATTTCTCTTTCTTTACTAAAGGAACTGATTCATCTTGCTCAATATACTGAAAGACCAGAGCAAAGGCGCTTGTGAAATCGGCTGCTGCTTCCCCAGCTTTCCCAGAGGACCACAAGTGGCACTTTACACAGGCAAACAAAAAATAATGCTTCTTTTCAGTAAAATAATGGCATCCCCAAGGTTATCAGAAGTGGCTTGCTGTACATAGGCACCAGGGCTCTTTTGGAATAGGCTCTGTTGGAAATGGAGATGATTCCAGCCTCATCAATCAGCACCTCTGTGCAGTACGCACCCTAAGGGCTGGCTTAGTGGTTAGGATCACTAGTTACAAAATATCAACTACAGTCATTGAGAAAAAAAAAACAACCTATTTTAGCGGTGAGGGGGGAAGCTACAAAGATGCTGAGGGAGAACCGAGAGCAGGGCCAATGTTTCCTTCAGTCTTCCAACAGATCCCTCTTCCAAGTGCTTGTACAGCCTCCAGAGAAGCTTGTGTAAGCCTCTTGCCTCCCCAACACCCTTCAGTGACAACTTCCCTGGGTCTGTACCACCCCCCACCCCCACCCCCACCCCGCCCATGTTAAAACACCTTGGCAATTATTCTGAAAAATCACTTTAAGGCTCCTGGTTCTTGTGCTGGCAGAGAAAGCAAAACATTGATCTTCATCCACTCAGGATACTGTCAGTCTCTGCCATACCTTTTCCAAGTCTCTTACTTGTTTAGCTAAAAAAAAGAAGGTAGCCAAGGCAGCAGTTCCTTTCCCAGAACACTGCTGCTGCCCTCCTCCAAGTTTTTTCAGTTCTTTTGTATGCTGAGATGTAGGGACTTAGCGCTGCACACTGCATCTTCATGGCATATACAGACCACAGGTTTAGAGTAATATAACTTTCTTTGGTTTGTTGCCTGTTCTTTGTCTGACATTGGATTTTGCTTGACTTAGTTCATGAAAATGTGTTCCCTAAGCACCAGTGTCTTGCTCTTAAGCCAAGAATCTCCCACATGAAAAGGGAAGTTGGTTTGTCTTTCCCAAGACCTTTTAAGCAAACACAGATCTCCAAGAAGAAACAAGTGTCATTGCTCAGGTAGTACCCAGCAGGACAGAGTGACCTGGACTCTTTCAGGAGAAAGGAAGGGAGAAGTTCTGTGTGCAGTTCAGTAGGTGTTTGCCTGCCTGCCCACACCACGGGCTGCATTCCTGCAGCACACCCTGAAGGTCATTTTCTCCATTTCAAAAGGGGGAGCTTGAGGAAAACATCAAGCAACCACCACCAAACTGGCAATTCCAACTTGTACAGTCCCTTGCTCAACAGTAACACAAACTGCAGTAACACACATCCTGTTTTACACTGAAACTGAAACACACTTTTAACTGCAGGGCATGGATCTTCATGCCCCCAAGCCTCACAGTGGATCTAACATGGCAATTAAAGAATGGCACGTGGCAACAGCCCTGTTCTGGCCTCCTTAACACCCACACTCTCCTCAGTGAGGACTCCACAATTCTTGACACCATGAATCCACCCTCAATTACTACACTTTTCCCACTACATCATATGCTCAGGTTTTACCCACTTACATGCAGGAGCCTGCCTAACTTTAGTCCAGTCTAAAATCTACATGTTGACAAAGAAAAAAGTCCCAGCTGTCAAACATTCTCCTCCTTTCCTGGTGACTGCAAGTACATGAAATTCACTCATTATGGCATCTGTGCCTCAGCAGACAAAAGGAACAGGCGGTACTTGTGCTGAGACTCTGACACATTTTCTTCTGTCTTTGTGAGGGAAATCACTTACCTTGCTCTGCGTAGGTGCTGTTCAGCTCCCTGTACAGAGGGCTGAGAATTGTTGGAAGGTAGGGCTTGATCCTGTCTTCTCCCAGATCCACCGAGATTGCTCCGAGGAACCTAAAGATGCAGCTTCTCTGAAAAAGAGCGTGTGAGACATGAAGTAAGGAAGGTTGGATGGAAACTGCCTAACTGCACTGCTGCAAGAGGGCTGCGCGTCGCTGTTCAACGTACATCGTTTCAGACACCCAAGTCAGAAACTCCCTGCTGTTACAAGGTCTTACTGCAGCCCAATACAGCCTTTAGAGATATAACCCCAAGGGCTCTGAAGTGTGCGAGCTGTGATTTCATCAGGTTGGCAGCTGTTAACACTTCAAACAGTGGGCTTGTTCTCACTGTCCTAGACGGAGGCAGCTGAAGACATGAAGGCTCAGCCCCTGTAACTGTACACACCACCAGGAACCACAGCGCTTTTGCTGACACTCTCCCTCACCCTCCCCTTCTTCTACCAGGTAACTCCACACGGCCATTCCCTCGCCTGCATAAACCTCGCACTCTTGGCCTGAACTGAAATGCTGCTTGTTTCTTTGGCACCTACTAATCCTCGCTTCAGCACCAGCTCCCAGCACCCTCCACAGCCTGGGAGTAAAGAGCCAGTGCAACACTCTGCTGTGCAGGTGTCTTAACACATCAAAAGCAGTTGGTCTAACCCTGTTCTTACCTTTAAGGGGACCTTAGGGGAATATGCTGCTTCTCGCTTTGCCATGAGAGAGAGCTTCTTCATTAACCACAGCAATGTGGCTGGCCGGCCTTTCTCTTCTGTGTCTTCTCTTTTCCCCTCTCCTTGAGCAGAAATGTCTTTCTCTTCCTCATCTTCTGAGGCCTCCTGCTCTTCCACTTCACAGCCGGGTTCTCCTTCGGCTTCTTTACCTTCTCCTAAGCCAGGGGCCAGCAGGTAAAGAACTTTTGCCACAAAAAGCAAATTCTTTATAACCTGAAGTGTAAAAAACAGAGTAGTCAGTCACTGTGGGTTTCCCCAGTGTCAGCACCAGCAGTGCCTAGGGTAGGCAAGAGCCAAGTCTAGATCTGAAAGAGGAACTCGCCAACCCAGGAGGCTGTAATGGGTTCACCCTCTGCATGTTGCTCCTAACAGCAAGGCCCACCTCAATATCCTCCTGTGGTTTGGGATAGCCTTTCCCCATGAGCTGCCATGACATTTGGGCTCCTTTTGTCTTCCCCACATCTAGCAGCCCCTGTCTCTTCACAAGGAAAATCTCTCACCAGGTTCCCAGCGGAGCCAGACCTTCAAGCAACAGCATAAATCTAGACTGAACACCCCCAGCAAACAGCCAAGACTGCAGCGCCGATACAGGGAACCGGCACCAGGGATCGGGATGGCCGCTCCAAGATCTGGCTGCCCAGCCTCCTCCAGTCTGGGCTGCAGAGCCAGACACTCCCCGACAGAAGGGACGCCAGTCCTGCCCTGCATGGTGCCACCCCTTTCTGTCCCTGCCACCCCTCAGCCCTTCCAGCAGGCTGATACCACAAAGGGGACTTTTCTGGGCCCCTCTGAGACATGTGCCCGCCCAGACGCCCTCAGCACAGAGCAGCTGGTCTCACACTGTCTATCTGCCCTGAGCCACCACCAGCCAGCAGCGCTGCTGTCCTGAGGACATAACACTCCCTCGCAGGCTGGGGCCTGCTCTGTGCCCTCCTGCAGCCCCAGACCTTCTCCTGCTCTTACCTGCTCTCCCAGAGACAGGTCCAGGAACTTGGACTGCAGCTGATGGCAGAATGCAAAGGCGAGTTCCTTCATCTGGGGA